AGGAGAATGGATAAATATTTGGGGAGTGCAGCAGTGGAATGAGCCTACTTTACTGTGTAACTTGTTTAATGGACACGATTTGACAGGCAGAATGTGCAGGTCAGTCGGCTGCCCAGTGGGGAGTCCAGAGTACCTGTTTGTGCAGTGAGCAGTTCTCTGCCTGGCCGAAACCCTCAGTTTGTTACAGATGTGTGGTATACACATATCTTTACAAATTACTTGTATAAAGTTCAAGCTGTAATACTGGCTAGCAGAAAACACATTTTTAAAACGCGTTTGTAAAAAGCTAGGAAACCACTGAATAGTAGTTATCAAAAAATCTCATTTTCATACAATTTGACTTACACAGCTGATGGTCCCAGGTTTTTTGTTCGTGTTTGTGTGGCTGGTGTTGCAGTGGACTAGCCCATAAACATGATGGTCGTCCACACCAAGAAGTACCGCTGGATTCTGCTGATGGTTCAGGTCAAATCACCCTTGAGTAAACAGTAGTAAATGTCCATTTGTTTAAATCTCTTATGTTTGCTTCATATGTCTGAAGCCAAACTAAAGATTTGGCACTACACTTTCATTACGTCTTTATGAGAACAGCTGCACTGTGCTGAAAGCTTACCAAGATCTTAAACCTTTAAATGTAGCTCTTCAGAGTAAATCATAGTTAAAATTGAATGCATCAGTTTGCTTGTTTACATTAGCACATATTAGAGTGCAATAGAAGCAAATCTGAAAAGCAAAACATTTTGCTGAGGACCTGATGTGCACACCTGGGGACACTTTTGAAGCTTTTACTTCAGATTAGGTTCAGGCTGGTTCTGTGGACTGAGTATTCATTTACGCTCCCAGAAAATATTTTTCATAAACTAGTAGCCCCATCTTTTTTTTTATTCTTATTTTTAATTAATATCTGTGTTTTTTTCTCTGTCAGGAGATGCATATGATGTTCTGACATAGGTTTGGGTTATGTGCCTGACATATAGTAGGTTAGAACAATGAAATGCAAATTAAACTTATGTTGATTCAAGGAGAGTTTTAAAATGAGATCCTACTTTACAAATATCACACATTGTGATGAGGTTTCACTACATATTTTAGTGAAATTAATGTTTTAGGGCCATGGAGATTGCAAGCTGAAACAGGTTGCAGGCCATCTGTTCCATATGTTTTCTGTGATGGTAGCCAGTTCCAGGTGCTTTGGAGTTTAGAAGTCCTATATTAGATGGCTGTGGAATAAAATAGCCCCAGGGCAATGTCTTTGAGTTCCATATCAGGTTCTCTGTTTGTTCTATTACCTTAAGCAAAATATTTTGAAAACATCTTACTTTGAAAACAAATATGGTTTACTTCATGCAAATCAAGACATTGGCAATAAAAAAGACCTCTCTGTATCCAAGCTTTAGGGCAGATGACAAGCTTCACCACAATTATCTTTAAATGGCTTAGAGTATGCTCTAAGAGATGATCTAAAAGTTATAAGTTTACTGAAGTTAATTGTACTTTTTAGTGATGAAACAAGTTTCTATTCAGCTCCATTACTTGGGTTATTGGGTCCAAACCAGCTATGGAGCCACAGTATCCATTCTCTACTGCACAAAATAGTTACTAATTTGTAGATATTAATAAAATAAAAATATGTGCTCTATGCCTGAATAGAATTTTTTTAGAATTTTACAGACCTTCTGTATCAGTAGATATCTTGAATCCCTTGGATTATGCTTTCTAAAGTTGCAGCTGGGACATTTGAAAATAATATTTTAATACTTGAGGGAAAAAAACCCCACATATCCAGTGAAATGGGCTTCAAAGCAATTGCAGTGTTAATTTTTTTCTGTCTTTATTTCCTAAAATTACATGCAATATTTCACAGTACACTGAGACTTTCTGTATTTAAACATTATTTGTATACCTTCTTTTGCCATTTGCAACATTTTTTTCTCCTGTTCACTTCAGCATGCATTTATGAACCAGCACATTTCATTAGACTTCCCTTTGACATTTGTATTTTTTTTTTTTTAAACTGGAAATGCAGTAACTTGTCTTAAAAACCCCTGCAGAAGACCTGAATTTTCTCCATCTGTTCCTCCCAGTCTCATAGGGAAGAGCGGCAGGTCTGGTGGGAGGGATCACTTATGAAACCCAAGTTGGTGCTCACAAAACACAGTGTCTAAGACAGCAGTGAAACTTTCCAGTTGGAACATGGGGTGGTCATTTCTCCTTTCTCGTCCTTCCTCTGCTTCAGGGAAGTGTTGAACACCATTCACAGCTGACTTAGCTGTTGAGGGGAAAGACGTGGAAAACTAAAGCAACTGGTTTTTAGGAAGCCTTTTTTTTTTTGTGAAAATGGGGTTGAATGCAAAGAGTTTATGTTTTGGTGTGAGTGTGCTATATAAAACAGAATGAAACTGAAAGGTGTGTGTGTGGCAGACTGCCTACATCTCTGCCCATCTTCCTGTTGCTGTTTTCCAAGATCAACGTGAGGACATCTTGACAAAATCCAGTTCTACCCAAACCTTGTGCTTTTGTATTCTGTTGAGCCTAACTGACGTTCAGAGCTTCAGTAAAGGTCCAAATCTGCAGGTCATCTAGCTGGGCCTTTTGTTTCCTTTATCTGTACTGCTTCCCACTCTCCTCCCAGTAAGTAACCTCACACTCTCCTCAAACTGTTTTAAACTCTTGCTTGCTCAGAAAATCACTCCAGAGGTTCTTATTTCAATAATATTAACAAAGCTGTCTTTGAAGAAAGGCAAAGCTTGTAATAAGGAACAATGCCAGGAGTTGTGCTAGTTCCAATATTGAAACCAACGTGAAAATGAAATTACTTTTCACTTTACTTTGGGACAGAATGGAAGAATAAGTCTTTGCAGTGTGATTACTTAAGTAACATTTGCAGGAGGTAATACCATTTCATTCGGTTGAATAAATAAACCAAAAAGCTCCACCTTCTTATCATGTGACTCTTTGGACAACTGACACTTGGAAATTCAAGACAGTAAATTTTTATTCATATGTTTCTTACTAAGCACATATATTTTGAATTCTCTAAAGCAATAATATAAAGGTGAGAAATTAATAGCTTGCTTTGGGGCCTTTGCTGTGGTTTTCTGCAGTGCATATCAATTTCTTTTAATATATCCAGGAATGGTAGAGAGGCAGAAGTTGGTAGAGAGAGAGAGACTTGAGCAGAAACAAGAGGACCTGTCCAGAAACTTGAAGACCCTTCCAGAAACGTTTAGCCAGCTTCTCTTTGGGAGAAGATAGCTGATTCATGTCCACATCATGTACTGTCTAATGCTGAGCTGATGACCCTTACTGCGTCTACATGCTCCCTTTTAAGGAGAGCACGCTTCTTAAGGGCAGCGTTGAATTGGAAACAACTTTATGGACTTGCTTTTTGTTATGCGAATTAACTACCAAATTACTTGTCTTTCTACCGTGTTTATGGACTTGCCCGTTTCTTATATGAACCAGTTTAATTGGCTGTGTCAGTTCCAGTGCTTGCAGAAAGATTTACAATGGTTGATCTTTGCTGATATTTCCACTCCACAGTCTCCATTATACGTAGTGTTAGCACTCCACAAGGGAACACACATAAGTGGAGATCATGCTGTGATAACTTCTTAAGGATTCTGGCACTGGGGGGATGTGTGTTGGTGCGTGTGTCTTCCTTGTCCTTATAGCTAAACATTATCTATAAGTACTGTAGCTACATAAGAAGTACTATAGCTATATTAGAACTCACGTTATTTCTGATTAATTAGCCTTCAGTTTATTTAGTTCTAGTTCCTAGTTGAATATACTTTCCTATTTAGCAGGAATAACATCTGGTGAATATCGTAAGTAAAATGCTGATTTAAGAAACACAAAGAATATTTTTAAATATTAGCAGTTACAGTTATAGCTTTAATAATATTTTGTTTCTAGCAATATTAAAAGTCCAAATTGCTGTTTAAAATCTCTTACAGATTCCTTTAAATATACCTCCAGTTAAAAAAAAAGAATAAATCAGTAGCACTGGGTTTGTACACTGATTTCCACCAGAACTATAAATAATTTTCTTATGTGTGATTGTTCTCCATCTTTAGCTTTTTGGATGCCCCTAGTGCCAGCTTTCCTGCTGAGCATGTCCCAAAGCAAAGAGTTTAGGTTTTGAAGGTATATGAGGGAAAACTACCATACTGATAGCTTCTCATTTTGGAGTCTGATTCCTCTGTGTTCTGTGAGAGAATTACCCCCATTTATGTGGGTAAAAGAGATTCTCTGATATGTTGTAGTAAGATTGTAGGCCAATGTATTTGTTTCTATAGAGATTTGAGAATCTGTAGTAGAGACAACCTTAATCATTATTTCAGGTGATAAGTATTGTTCTCCTTAGTGTAAAGTAATAAGTTAGGAAATTTTTCAATATTAACTCAGGTGAAACCTTAAACAACACTGACTTTTAAAACTATTATTTTGCACTGAGGAGAATGTTGCTATTTTTCTGACCTATCATAATTGCTATCAATTTTGGTGTAGCACATCTCACCTACTTTAATATGTAAGTTTACAAAAAGAGATATGAGGAGTTTGGGTGTTAATTTGTAGATATGGGATATTTTAACATTCAAATTGATTGTGCTTTAGTAGTCTTAGAACTGTCTGTGCTAGAAGTAAATAAATGCAAAGGAGTATTATCAGTGCCTTCTCAAAAAGGGGCCATTGAAGCAATGGGGAAGTGCCTTATTCCTTGTTAAACAACACTGTCAGGTGAGTTCAGCCCAAGGTAACTGTGAACAGAACATTTGGTGTGTGCCTTGATAATTTGATGCTGTCAAGTTACCCTTTATGGGCCCAATAGTGTTGAAAATTTGGAAGGCGTCAATTCCAGCGTCATTTAAATTAGCCTCCCACTGATGTGCTCAGCTAGATCTCAAGCCAGAAATCATACAAAATTAACAGATCTCCAGTCAAACTTAGTAAAACACATGCTTTTCTAACTGCCTTTTATTGCCTTCCTTTTCTAGGTCTTTAGGGATTTTACACTGCGTATCTGGAAAAACAAGTCACCGTTTAAACACTAAGTCTACAGCTTGAATGGTAAGGGGAAGCTGCATTACTGTGTTGTTATTACTCAATTAGTGTGGAGCTGATGACTTGGATGAAGGAAGTGCTATTCTAGTTTCTTTACTGGGAACTGTCGTGCTTTGAGTCAATATATACCCCAAAGAACAATTTTTTTAGAAATCACATAAAGCACAGTTTTTAACACTTCCATGCTTTATAACTATGAGCTGGCTGCTAAAAGCAGTGTAGAGACTTTTCAGCTCTTCTATTCTTGAGCTTTGTACATAGGCCTTCTCTTATACAGATTTCTATTTTTTCATATATTTAATGTTTTAAAATATCTGTATATGCTTCTTTAGAACTTCTGTTTTGTCCTGTCCAGTTTTACAGTGATTTTGCCTTCAGGCTGGCAAGTGTTGTCTCTGAACAGTGCCTAGCATTTTCCATTCTAAAATTCTACTTTCAGTCTATTTCTGGAAAACTGTAATTTTTAAAGTTAAAATTATCCATCTTTTTCACTCCTTCCTTTCTCTTTCCACCAAAAGGCTTCAGTAATTCAGGAAATCTGGTCTTCTGCTAATATTCAGGCAACCTCTTAGAGAAAATATCTTCTGCCCTTTCATTACTGTAGTAAGAGGGCAGAAGAGAAGGTGCCTTTTATAGTACTACAGAAATTGCTCAAATTTGCCCAACTTGCTTCAATTTTTACATGCTCAGTGGAGAGCTCTAGGCCTCCACAGCTGGAGTTTATTTTCTTTCTGTGTTGAATAAACACTAACTTAGGACTGGCAGAATATTTGCTGCTTCAATCAGGACCTGCTTCAGGCAAATTTGGATTTTGGTATAGAAGCCCCAAACCAAAAGCAGGTTGACTGTACCTTTCCTGGGCTGTCAGTGACTGTGCTTCTGGGTTTGGCTCAAATGCAAACTAGACACAGAAGGAGGTTAATTAGGTTGGTATCATTTGAGAGATAATTATGCATGGAAAGCAGGTCCAGAGTTGTGTTTATGAACTTGACAAGTACAAGAGTGCATCAAATTAGGACTGCCTTTAGAAAAAGAAATTTTTATTTAATACAGTTACTCTGAACCAAAAGTCAGGTTTTTTAACAGTAATTATTTATAGCACACAGTTAATTGTAGTTATTTATAGCCCTCACTGACCGTGTATTCTTGGTTTGGTGTGGTGATAATTACAGCATTGGAACAAAATAGTATAGCTTCAATACACTGAAGTTTGAACAACTGACAATATTATCCATGCAGAGTACAGGTTTCAGATCCGTTTCAAATTTACTGAAGGAAAAGTAGCCCATGGATTTCCAAGGGGATCTGCTCTAGTCCTTCATAGAAGTGCTCTAGACTTTTTAATGTCACATTTCAGTAGGTCTTGCAAGGGCTCAGTTGGTTTGTTTTGGGTTTCAGTGGGTTCCTGAATACTTCAGAGACACGGGCATTTTTCATATTCACCCTTTTGGCCTGAGCATACTGTGGTGAACTCTGACACCAGCTCTCCGGTCTCTCCAGTGTAACCAGGACAGTAGTCAGGGGAAAAGTGAAGAAACAAGATTCAGAACCTTCAACTATTCCCTGAATTTATACCTAAGTGAAAGGATGAGCAAAAGATAAAATAGAAAGGATAACAGAGATAAGACAATGGCAAAATTGGTTGCCTAAGTGATTACAATTGGTTTATTCACATCAGTTACTGCATAAATTAGCTGTACAAGTAAGGGATCATATAGAAGTTTAGAGTGAGAAGAATCAAGAGACAAAATTTTGTATAAGTGTCCTAAAAATATTATTAAACATCCATAGATGGTAGAATAAAGAATAAAAAATCTGACCTTCTCCTTTGGGTGCTTGTCTATAAAGTCTCTGGCTACACAATTTATCTTGAATCTTGTTTCGGGACAAGCTGGCCCTTTCAAAGAGGCTTCTTAGATATTAAAGATAGTCTGAAACATGCAATTTCCTACAGAAGTAGCCTGGGAATACAAGCCCAGTATAAAGCAAACAAGAAAGACTGAAAATTAATCTTTTGGAGGAAAAGCCCAGCAGGAAAGAATGAAGATGCCCATCTTAACTCCCTAGTAAAAGATGTGCAGGCTGATGCCTGTAAGGGATTGCTAGGCCGAGGAAAGCACATGGATGACATTTGGAATTTATTTTTCTCAAACAAAAAATGTAACCTGAAACTCATGCCCTGAAGAAAATTAACTTAACTCCTATAGCTCATAGGAGCTCTCTGAAACACTAGCCAGTGAATTAAACCACTGATTTAGAAGTTTCTCAGATAGCTAAAAAATATATGAAGTCTTCAGGGCAGGGAAATCTTTTCTAATACATTTGTATGTCATCAAGCACAGTGCCAAGAAATGCTGATTCCATTTATGCCAGTAAGAGTGTAGTATGAAATCTCCTTTGCAAATCTGTATTTTAATTTCCTTTTAGGGGCATTTCTACCAAAAAAATATTTTATTATATAGTTGGTTTCTCTTTTTTTATTTTTTTTTATGTGAGTTTGGCCCATGAATTTGTTGGAGAAAACCAAAGTAACAGTTCATGTAGCATCTGGAATCCAATGTAAAGAGGCACAACACTTCTGTCTAGCTGGCATCTAGAGCACAAAGGATCAGTAAGCAGTTAAAAATCCCTTTTGCCTGTGAGAGTGTTCATTGCCAATATTTATCTAAGGAAAGGGCTTGGAACAGCCAAGTGGTCTGTAAGAAGATTCAAGGAAGGTGAAGTTCAAAGGAAAATAGGGAAGCCTGAGAATCTATTTCAGACCTCTTTGTTCCAATTTTTTTCACCTGTGAACAAATAGCAGAGCACTCTGAGGGGTTTGTTCTGGTCACTGACTGCTCTTTTATCAGTCCCAGTGGGAGCAAACCTGAACCTAAGTGGAATCAATTGAGGTGTTTACAGAGACAGTAAGCCCAGGTCTGGTCTGAGGAGAGGAGATCCAAGTATGAACATGCCAGAAGTAGATGTTGATTTGAGGTCTCAGTGCAGGGGTTGCAGGACATGTCTGTCCTGTGGAATTGGTTAAGGGGCAGAGGAGGCACCGCTGCCCATTTGTTATCCACCCAGCATGGTGCTGTGCAGGCTTCTCAGCGTTCCTGTGGGAGAGGGGGAGCTGTTTGTGTTGTGCCAAGGCTGAAGGGAAGAAGGCTTTGCTGCATTGGCATTATACTTGTGGACAGAGCCATAGCCCATCAACAGCTGAGCTAATTTCAAATGTCTGCCCAGCACATCCCCTTGCCCTTGGGGTTCTGCTGGTAGTGCTGGTGGCCAGCACAGGGTTGTACCTATGGGGGTTCACACTCAACAGTTGTTATCCTCAGGCCACCACCCCACACACTGTGAAATATTTTCAGGATTCTTCTTTGGCATTCATATCTTTTTTTTTGTTGTTATTGTTTGGTTTGCTTTGCTTTGTTTTGTCGATATAAGTTCTCCTGATAATACTGATGTATCTTGAAGTACAACCAAGAACCTTCACCAGGAGTTAGATAACACTTGGTTATGTACAAATATCTTTGAGGAAAAACCATGCTGTGTTGACAGGGTAACAGTGAAAGGTATAAATGATAAGTGACTTCAGAAGTGAAAAACTTGATGTCATACTTGTGTGGTTTGTTATGCACTTAATAAAACAAATGTAAAGTGTCAGTTATGGAAGTCTTCCAAACCAGTCTTTCATGACTAAGATAACTTGTTGCTGATAGTTTTGCAGAGATGATTTGCAGTAACCAGTCTGAAAGAGGAGAGATTCATTGTCTTTTATGACATTCTTTCTTTTATTCTTTTAAGTTTCATCAAGAGCAAAGCAATTACAAGCTACCATACTCCACATACCCATACTTGGAGAGTTGCCTAAGAATTACATACATGGTCTTTCTGCAGTCATTGTGATCACATCATCATAGTATAAAGGAGACTGGAAGGGTCCTCCAGAAACTGATCTAATTAGATCTGATTGCTCAGAGCTGTGTCCAGTTGTGTCTTGCATTCCCACATTGAATTCCTTCATGAGGAGATTCCTGTCTGCACACCCTGTGTCAGTGTTTGACCACTCTCATGGTAAATCAACAAACAAAGAAGTTCTTCTATCTAATCAGAATTTCCCACATTCTGACTTTTTTTGTTGCCTTTTTTAGTTCCACTATGAAGCTCTGAGAAGAGTCTGGCTCTGTCTTCTCTGTATCCTCTGGTCAGGCAGTTGTAGACAACATTATGTTCTCCCAAGACTTCTCTCCTGTGGGCTGAAGAGGCCCAGCTCCCCCCGACTCTCCTCTTTTTTTCTTTTTTTTTTTTTTAATGGATGAGACATGTCTGTCTACACTTTACAGCTTACTCTTGTGACTATATATCCACTTATCTAACTTCAAATTGGTTTTGATTTTTTTTTTTTTTTTTTTTTTTTTTCAGCCTGGATAATTTAATAGAAAGAATTCTGGTAGCCAAAAACAGTGAATATGCAAGTGTGTTGTGTTTTACCATGAAGTTTATCACAATGCCTCACATACAGAATCAGAGATGGGCTGAGGCAGGAAGGTGTCTCTGGAGATCACCTGGTCCAAACCTCTGTTCAGTGCAGGGTCAGACAGACTAAGCTGCTCAGGTCTATGTCCAGTTAGTTTTTGTTTCCACAGCCTTTGTGAACAGCCTGCTCCAGTGTTCAACTCCCCTCACAATAGTAAAGTGGTTTCTTATGTTAAATGAGATTTGTTGTATTTCAGCTTCTGCCCATTTGCTTCTTATCCTGTCAAGAAAATTCTGACTCCATCTTCTTTCCTTCCCCCTTAAAGTATTTATACATTTTCATAAGATGCCCCTGAGCCTTCTCTGCTCCAGGCTGAGCAGTTCCAGCATCTGCTTGTATGACAGATGTTTCAGTCCCTTAATCCTCTTTGTGGTCCTTTGCTGGGCTCCCTCCAGTATGCCTCTGTCCCTCCTGTAGTGGGGAACCCATCTTGGGACCCAGATGTGTCTGACCAGGACTTTGCAGGGGGAAGGATCACCTCTCT